TATCATCTGATGAAGTTGTTTGGGATGCTGTTTTGAACAATGAGTTGGTCCGGAAGCTCCTTCACTCACCCTTTCTAGGTCTGTTCTATAGATTGCAAATACATCTGCATTAGTATGTAATTGCTGAAATTGAATTCAAGCAATATAATTTACTTGCCCTCTATTCTTTGTAAGTGATTTCAATTGATCTGTGCAGCTAAAACCCAAAGGCCTATGTTGTCTGATGAAGAGCCGAACTTGTGGAGTGATATCTTGAGGTGGATCTTAGAGATCACAAAAGCAAAAGTTATGGAACTCATCGAGAAATTCCAGTTGCTCATGAATGAGGTATTTTCTCCGAATGATAAGGGAAGACCCACAGAAGCAACTCCAGGCAGTTTGGAGGACAAAGTGAGATCATCCCTGCTACTCTCCCTTGTGATCCTCTTGATTGTAATAATGGGTCGCCTTGACATGGTGTGATCCTCTTGATTGTAATAATGGGTCGCCTTGACATGGTGTGATCCTCTTGATTGTAATTGTTGCTCGCCTTCACAGGGTGTGATCTAAGACAGCATCAACATAAACATGTAAGCGTAAAGATTTCCCATACCAATTTGTAGACGTTTCCAATGGAAATTGGGATTGCTACTTCATTGAGTTCATCAATAAATCGTATGTACTTTCGGACCCATTCGTATATGGTTACTATATAAAGTGAATCTATTCCCACTCTCAGACTCTCAATTCCATCGCTATAAATTCCATTGCAGGGACGGAATAAGCTGACCCACTAATTAATTGAGCCCCGTATGAGTTATGACTTTTCTCGTGTTTGCCGTGGAATATGACATGGCTGTGTAAATGGAACATCATACTTCCAAAAATAGAGTATTTTCAATTTATGGAACCATATAAATATCTTACCTCCGATTCCAGATCAAATTAATTTTTTGGTGCACTACGGACTTGCATAACAGGAAAAATCAGGAACAGATGCTAACAAGAAAACAAATCATATCTACGTTAATGCTCAATGCAAAAACTCATATTTACTTCCTTTAGGTTGCACTGTAATGGAATTATGGAAGGGAAAACCAATGTGAATTTGTGTGACAGACATCTCGCTGGGAGGAAAACAGAGTACGAGTACCCACTACCCACTTCCTAAGGTTTTGGGATACATGGCACATACAATGGAAAAAACCTACAGATGGGTCCAAATATTCACCATCAAGCCCATCAAATGGAAAAAAAATGGAGATTAGTATATGTATCATCAATTCATATGCACCCAAAATGGGAGCCAGTGTATTGATTCCAGGGATCAAGACATCCAAAATTTTGGACCCATCAATTCACGATCTGCAGCAGAACCTTGGGTAGCAAGCTTTTGGATGCGGGAAGAGAATTCCTCAGCCTGGTAAGATGTTAGGGTAAGATATAAGTGCTCTTGCAATAAAGAAACTAAATATACTTTAAAACTAGAATACATGCACAATTCATTCTTTTTTTTCCTCATGCTAAAAGGGGGTGAGAGTGGTCGTAGCATTCAGAGATTAAAGTGGATACTCTTTCACGTCACAGTGGCACAAAAAAAAAGTTTATAACAAACATAAGTGAGAGGTAATGTTAGTGGTGATAAAAAAAGTGGAGTAGGTTCTCTGACCCTGGGTATGAAAATCTCATGCTAAAATGTCTTTCACATTATAATATTTCAATAATAGATGAAACAGAATGATCAGTACAAACCTTCTCGTCAATCCACATTAAAGAACTTAGTTGATTGTTTAAGATTCGGACAACCACATCCAGTGGAGTCATCCCATCAATTGCATCAAGTCCTCCCTAAAACAAATCAAAATCAAGTCTGAATGATATTTGTTAAAAAAGACTCTAAAAAAGGCTAAAATGATTTAATTTGGGCCCTTGCCTGGTTAGAATTTAAAGTCTGAATGATTGATTTTATCTGCTCAGTCATCTGCTCCATTTCTCTCTCTATAAATTCAGCCTGATCATACCTGAAATGAAAACCAAAAAAAAAAGTTCTCAAAACTGGTTGTTGAGTGGTGAATTTTGACACAAACTAGCTATTTTCTGATGAAAAAAAGGTTTATATGTTAAATCCTTAGTTCTGACAACTTCTTTTTCTATATAAATTCTAACTGAGTCTTTTCCAACATAATTTCCATATCCTTATACATATTATTCAGTCAGGTAAGCTAATTACTAGTGGGTGTAACAGACTCAAGTTTCAACTTTCATTCAATCATAAACTAGATTAAGCTAAAAATCAGAACAGAGTTCTCACATTGCATCTCTAGTTGATGCAGCTTCATCGTCAAGAAGTAATCCTCGCTCATCCTTGTAAATGCGCTCAGCTTCTTCTTCCATGCTTTGTAAAGCCTTATCAACCTAACAATATCTCCGAAGAAGAAGAAGAAAGAACCACAATTAGTCACATATATGGCACCAATATTTAACACTTTTTACTCATAGACATTAAATACTTGAGGTAAACAGAGAGGTGAGGTCACAATCTAACAAGGAGTAGAATAGCGAGGGCATCAAATCCGAGGTTCATTTGGGGGAAATTAAAGAAAATTCTGTAAGAAAAACAAAAACTATTTGATTTTGATACAGAACAAAAACATGTATTCGAAGGTCTAAAAATGCAAGATAGACACTCAGATGCATAGGTGTATGTTGCTCGATAGTAACCAGATAAGATGTAATAAGGGAGCATATATGAAAACATCTCCATACGAACAGAAAGCAATCAAATTATTCAGACATCAATAATATCATGAATAGGAAATGGGAGACTATAGAATAATATAAAAATAAATGAAATAAAAGAAAATATTTCTACAACTTTGCAAACCTATATTCCTTCAACAAACACACCAAAATATCCAAGCAAAAGAACTTATCAGAATACCTCTTGCTGATGAGTTTCAATTAACTCAAGCTGTCGCTCCAAGTTAGCTTGGGTCTCAACCACTTTTGCCACTTCAATCTGCTTACAAAGTTCGTGTATTAGGAGGACAAACAGTCATAATGTTTTAAATTATATAAAAAAGCTAAACAGGCCCTCATGGTAACATTGAATTTACACAGCCAAAACCTTTTTAGGAGAGGTGGGGAGGGATTTTGTCAGAGATTGATGTGTGATCGACTAGACTCTTTGTTATCAACACAGATAAGAGAGCATGAGAAATCATTCGTTACTATTAGACGCATATAATATATAAACCATATGTCACCTCAAGCCTAAGAAGGACATCACGGTTTTGCAAGATCCTCTTGTCCCACTCAGCTATGGCACTAGCTTGCTTCCGAAACTTCCCAGTGCGCTCTTGTAACTCCGCGTTCCATTCCTTGATGATCTTCAAACAAAACAAAAACAGAAATTAGAATATATGAAACACTAAAAATAGAAATAAGCCAACTAACAAGATACATAAAACTTGTTGCCTTTCTTCACTCTCCATAAGGGAAACATAAATGTATTGTTGCCTTTCTTCACTCTCCATAAGGGAAATATAAATGTACTCCAAGAATAAAAAATGAGGTGTCTAGGGTAGTTAATATACATTGTTCTAGTGGGCACATCTGCCTTTCATGATGGCATTACGTATATTTCATTTTCATAAAACAAAAGATAGCAGAATGACAACCAGTAATTTGTTAACCACAAAATTGCGACATATGAAATCTTTAAAACCAAAATTAAGGGTAGAAAATAGAAGGCTACACTGCAATGCCACAAGAAGAGAGAGAGAGAGAGAGAGTACCTCCTCAACAGTTCGCCCTGTGATCTCAGATGGTAATTTTGGTGTAGCAGACACTGTCGTACTCACTGTTGCACTTGTCCTATAAGAGAGCAAACCATAATGTTGCCGAAGAAGGTCAACAAAAGATAGCTTAAATAGCAGAAAAATGTCAAAAAATGGCATTGGATTTGAAGGATCATACACATACCCACTACTAGAAGCTACAACAAGAGAGGAAGATGTTTGAGCAGCAGGAGTACTGGTGCTGGAAGTTGTTGCTGCAGCAGAAGTTGAAGTAGGGACACCTGTAAAAATGAATTTGTCTAAAAACTTCAGAAGTTGAAGTAGAATACCTCCACAGTTTGTGACAGTTGACAAAACAGCACAAGAGACTACCATTAGTATAAACACTGACCACCTAAGAACGGAACCTACGTCAAACTGAGCAGCAGATGCTACTTCTGCACACCTACCACTTTCATCTTCATAATACCCCTCTTATTATTTTTATCCTGCCCTATTAAACACCTGCTGAAGTTTCTCTTGCACTTCATTGGGTTTCCTTGGCTGCTTCATTAATTTCTACCCTAGCCGCCACACCATCCCCTTTGTCTCTACAGCTTATATGAACCCTTAATAGCATACAGAACACTCAAAATCATATTTTGTGGGTGCCTTGAAATGCATCAAATGGAATCTTCATCACAATTAAAATTGCGGTGAAATTTTTCCATCTCAAAAAGTAGTGATTCATACTGTAACAGAAGAATGAAAACACTCTAGCCTAATAAAGAATTGACAACTAAGTACTTCATATATCAAATCATTATCAACATCACCTAAAAATGCATCTGTTATTGCTTTAATGAACGAATTTTTTTTACACAGTATATATTCTACAACATAATCTACTTCATGTGTAATCTGACACTACTAACAAAAATAATGTTGATAGCAACAGTTTACTACTCTCAAGTAGAAGAATTTTCCAACTCACTGAAAACAGGTGCCGCAGCAGTAGATTGTGCTTGTGATGAAGAAGGCGTAGCTGTTTTACTAGACAATGAAAAACCTGTAAAAGAGCTAGTAGTCCCAGTGGAAGTAGATGTACTACTGGTCATACCAAAACCAGTAAAAGAACTAGCACCGGAACCAGAGCTAGCAGGTGCTGATGTTGAAGATGTAACAGCCGAGGAAGAACTCACACCAAAAGCTGGCAATGTCGCAGTTGTTGTTGTGGTACCAGCAGCTGGGGTGGAAGCAGTGGTGGTAGTGACAGTAGAGAACAGTGGCACTGAAGATGTTGCACCAAAAGACAGTGAAGGGGGCTTTGCGGCAGGTGTGTTGGAGATTGTGGCAGCAGATGAAGCTGAAGTAGCATTGCTGAAGCTAAATGAAGATTGAGAGGCCGGTTTTCCAAATGAAAAGCTAGAAGAGCTCGCCGATGATGAAGACGTTGTAAGCGAAGGTTGTGAAGTCGTAGATGTTGAACTTTGAGTAGTTTGTGAAAAGGATAAACTAGACGGGATCGAAAACCCAGTAGAAGCCGAGAAAGGTGAAGCTGAGCCAGTGGTTGAAGTTAAATTTGAAGATGAACTCGGAGGGAACGCGCTGGAAAATGAAGGAGCAGTTGATTTTGTAGTAGACAACGCAGTGGAAGCACCAGTACTTCCAAACAAGGATGTCGCAGAACCTGTGGTAGATGAAGATGCTCCTAACAGGGCCGGAGCATTAGTCCCAGCCGCGAAGGCGGATGAAGATGCTCCAAAAGGGGGCGAAGCTGTAGCCCCAGCCGTGAATGAAGATGTTCCAAACAGAGGTGGATTTGTAGTCCCAGCCGTGGATGAAGATGTTCCAAACAAGGGAGAGGCTGCAGTGGCAGCTGTTGACGAAGATGTTACAAACAAGGGAGAAGTAAAAGTTGACGCGGATGTAGACGATGCAAACGAGGGAAAAGCCGGTGTTCCGGCAGTATTGGAGGCAGAAAAGGATGTCCCAAACGGTGACGTAGTAGTAACGGATATGGTATTCGTCGCAGGTGTAAATGCTCCAACAAAAGAGGGTGCAGATGTGGCGGCAGATGTAGTAGTCCCAAACAGGGACGTATTGGTGGCGGTTGAAGGCGTTCCAAAGAGAGAGGACGCGGGTGTAGCAGGTGATGAAGATAGAGTTGGAGTTGAACCGGAATTAGATAAATTTGAACTAAATCCAAAAGCAGCGGAGGTAGGGTTTGTGGTGGAGGAAGAGGTGTTGAGAGGTAATGAGAAAGGGGAGGCTGTGGAGGAAGCAGAGCTAGGGTTTGAGGACGAGGTGTTAAAAGAGAGTGGGAAGGAGGACGAAGTACTAGGGTTTGAAGAAGAGAAATCGGTGGATCCGAACGAGAATGGGGAGGAGGTTGAGGATTGGCCCGACTGGGAAAATGGGAAACCTGACATTGCGATGGCCGGTGACACAGTGACACTCTCACTTTCCCTCTTTTCTCCGTCTACGTTGCGCGTAGGATTTTGAATTGGAGGGTTTTGGGTTTGGGAGTCTTTCTCTATTAACCGGTACTCCTTACAAACCGAATTTTCCCGAATCCCGAGTTTCCGGTTTAGTATAACATTGGGCCAGTAGTATCTTTATCTGGGCTTTCTAGGCCCAAAAAATAATTTATTAGGCCGAACCCGCCGAGCCCTCTTTGCAAAAGAAATTGGCTCATAATCAAAACCTAATTACTGTTGTTTAGTCGTTGACCAACTCGTATCACCGCACACACTGTAAAAAACTTTGCCACACCGTCCAAGAAACTTATTGCTAATTTACATTTGACATCTCGTTTACGGGCCGTTTCTAATTTACACGACACGAAGTTTTGATAAAGATGACATGGCGTCCATATGCATAGGAAAACAATTATACGTCGTCGACAGTCTTAGCAGATAGATGACATATAGTTCATATGAACGAAATTTTCACTATAATGATTAATGGTTTTAGCTTAGAGCCCCGAATATTATAACGATTTTATAGGGATTATCAGCATAAAAATTTTCCGATCATCAGTGTAAAGCCAATGAAACCTTTTTCTAGTATTTGTGCGATAACAAGTAACTGAGCCTTTGACATAAAACTTAAAATATATAACCTATATAGTGCAACTGGAGTGCAGCTTCTGTTTATGCGAATTACAGAGCTGACAGAAGATGACATATATGTATACATAACTACTAGAGGTTAGCCCAAAAACCATGAAATCCAAGTGGAAAATTGAATTTCTTTGGGACTTCAAGTCTAGCTACCAACGCATCAGCTTCTCCAATCTTCTTAGGGTTCAAAATAACAAGAAAACATCTTTGTATTGAGACAGCATACTGCAAAACAATGAAATAATGTTACTACATTAAAAATTTATACTTGGAAACTAACGATATTAATTAAAATGATAAGTTGGATTTTCACCTCGACCACAAGAATGTAACCATCGTCTTCCTCAACACCTTTGGGGACAAAAATAGGCTCCCCGATAAATCTTCGAGCACCAGCGGACCATGTACGATTAGTATTGGTTGATACATTTAGCTTCAACACCGTATCAAATGGGAAATGTGGCAATGCCTGGCGAGACCCAGAAGATGTTGCCGCATAAATCAACATATTTTTGTTGCCAGAAAATGCTGGATTTATAACAGGGAAATCTGATGGCTTGTTCCATTTATTCAAAGGCTCCACGCAACATTTTTGGCTGTTCCCATTAGCATCTAAGTTGATAGAAACCTGTGAAACACACAAATTAAAAGATCGTATTTGATCAAATTTAATGAAACAATTGATAATACTCTCTGTTAAATATGTCTTTACAATTCCCATTGAGAGTACCTGGACAAGATGAGGTAATAACTCGTTGTCATGACTTTGTTTTACATTCATAATTGAAGGGTCTAGTTTACCATTTTGCCAATTATATCCTGTCAAACAATGAAGGTTTCCAAAATTAGTGTTAATTAAAGCAGCAATATGATATGACATGATTGATTGAAAGTTTAATGTTAAGAGCTGAAGGCCTTACCGAAAAGCTTTTGGAAATTAAACCATTGGTAGGAACAAGAGCAGGCGTGTATTTGAATCTCTGAGTTCCCATCGGCATCCTTTCTCTCAAAAGCATTCCCAACATGCAATAGCCACATCTGTGAAGGAGCTTCAACAGGCACACTCCAATCTCGAACTCCAGCAGATTCATGATCAAGAAATCGAGGAAGTAAGTAAATGGGAGACGTAGACTTGCTGGGGTTCACTGACAAAGCTGATATCATTGGAGATAACCCACAAACTGCTGTCATTGATCCTGCTCAATATTTAACAGAATATAAACCAGTAAATAAAATATAAAACAATCTCACTTGAAATTCATTACATTAATTAACCTCGTTTTCATTACCGGTGACGTCAAGCTTAATTCGGTTGGCGAATAGTATATAATGAGTATCTGTAAAGGCCCAATCATGGATCATCAAATGATCTGGGATGTTGAATTCTTGCTTGTTTAATAACTTGAAATTCGAGTCAAATTCTGTAAACATGAGTAAAGAAATTACTTGGGGTGTGACAAGAAATATACAGTACAGACATAAAATTAGATTAATGGTATAAGCTTTACCATAAAACGTAAAATTGCTACGTGGCAGTAACATATCTTCTGCATTGCATGACACCGTAAGAAGTCTATTTCTTTGAGAGTCGAGTTTATAGTGAGACAGCAATCGCTTAGGTGGCATTTTAAACACTCCTGTGAACATTAGCATAGACCAAAATTCGTGAACCACTTCCTTAGTTTAAACATTATAATAATTCAAAACGCAAAATATTCCTACCATATAAAATGGGCCTCAACATCATCGCCGCTACGTCCCATACATCAGCGCTTTTATTCCCACCGTCCGGCAAAGAATCACAACCGTCCATCATGTCAAACCTCCCAACCGTATCCAACGTCCCGGATTCAATCTCATACGGGTCCCCACCTTCCCACAAGCACAACAACTTTCTACCCCACCTCAAAACACTTGTATTAGCCACATTTTTCATCACCTTTGTATTACCAATTTTCTTACCTCCTTTCAACACTGAAAACGGACCCCGATGAGTAAACCTCCATGAACGAGTCTCAGGATCATGCTCCTCTTCTTGTGCCTCCGTCTTAACGTACCTCGCCATGAACTTGACCTCTCCAGTAACGCCGTTAATGTCAAACGCTCGAAGGTAACCATGGCCATCAAGAGGGTGAACAGTGGAGCCGTGGTCGTCAGTAAACAGACCCGGACCGGCCAGATAGTACGTGCCGGAAGGAAAGTCAGTTGGAACTGAACCTTCAACGATACGAAGAGTGATGGGTTGGCTTGTTTCTGAGCGCTGTGACACAAACAAAAACTGGTAGTCCCAAAAGGCAGCAATAGAGTCGTCAACTTCAGGTGTTAAACTTGTTGAAACGAGGTTATCTGGTGTGGAAATTGATATAGCTCGTGGAATTTTAACTAAAGATGAAACTTGATGCGCCGTAGGGAGTGTTACCGGAAAAAGGAATTTTGTAGGAGTAAAACGACAGGGTATGGCCTGCATTTTCTGGCTATAATATAATATATGCTTTTGATGGTTTCGATTAATGAAGAAGCTGGGATATGGGTTAATATATAATACAAGAATGTTAATTAATTACTATGAGTAATCACCATTGATATTAGCGTTAATTACGGATTTGCCAGCAATGTCATGGTGGGACATACGTTGGATATGATCTGGAGGACACGAATTAAATTGCACAAAAAATGGCCGACATAAATTTTATTTAAAATCGTTTTGTTTTTAAATCTTATGACAAAAGTTTGTACCTTAAATATAAAAAATTTAAAACTCTAATGGCATCAGATACTACTTTTATCTTTAATTGATTGAGGTTATTTGAGTCAATTTACATATATCTTAACTAATATTTTAAGAGCTTGAAGTTAACAGTCGGGGGATCCTAAAACTAACAATTGAGTAATCTTTAGAGTGATCATCTCTATTAGCAACTAAGAGCAATCAAAGAGAATTAAACTCAATACCTTTAAGTAATAGTATATTTAAAAGTCTTTAGACGACCTCTTGGTCACCTAAGGGTAGGTTTGATTGTTTTTTCCTCTTTGTTGTGTTGCAGTTTCAAGTAATGAGCACTTGATGACTTGTAGTGGAGAATATAGGAATATCGCAAGTTGCAAAACAAATTGCTCCATTATTTATAAAATCAATGTAGAAAATCAGAATGGTATGACAAATTCGTGAATTAACATGTAATCATAGACGTGGAACTTTGTACTGATTAAATTAGAGTGATTGAATGAAATTTTGGGGTGACTTGGTGAGGTGTATCATGATTAAAATGGCACTTTGGTGGTTTAAGAATAACCGAAAGGCAATTGTGTGGTACACTAGTAATAATATTAAATGAATGGCACTAATAAAACAATGATTAGGAATTTGATACCAAGATTAGAGTTGTTGTGATACTGCCGGAATAACGACAAAAATGGGGCCAAATGTGTTCACATTCTTTAATGTGGCCGTCTATTGAGGAATCTGCTGAGCTCACCATCAAATCATTCTCCTATTGGACGGACAATAGTAGTTGTATAATATGAGCCCACAATAATCTCATATTATGCATGGTTTTCGGTTGAACTATATTGACATTTGACCGTGACCATATAGTAATTATTATTATTATTTCATCCATATTTTTCTCATTTACATTGCTTTGATGCTTGTTTTTGTTTTCTAATTAAGTATGATATTATTAAATTATAATTTGATCCACGATCAAGTGTATCACGAAATTGATATAATAATGAATATGCCATTGGAAAATACATTTCTTAATATTTTATTATTTGAATCAAAGTTATAGATTATTATTTATTGTAGAATATGGGGAATTAGCAAAAGTGAATATATGGTTAGGTATCAAAAGACCCCACCCTTGGGTAGTTTAGGTGATAGGTTGAATGCTAAAATATATGGTTAAGACGCATGGTCTTAGGTTCGAATTTTCATGGTTCTAAAGATTTAAGTTGATGATTATGATGTTGGGGTGCTATGTTAGTCATCTATAGGCAGTAGCGGATCCAGAAATTTCTTTTAGGGTGGGCCAAAATAAAAATTTATTATACGTTACTATTTTTGTCCATTAATATTTTTGTTAGGGTGGGCCAAAATATATAAATTATACATATTAATATTAAAAAAAAAATTTGAGGGTGGGCCATGACCCACCCAAAAAGTGGCTGGATCCGCCACTGTCTATAAGGATTAGTTAAGTTACGCACAAACTAAGCTAGACATCCTATTAAAAAAAAAATAATGTTAGGCGAACGAATGATATTTATGGAATTTGTGGGTGTTATAAGAATAGAATTTATTTTTAAAACCATAAAGTGGGGTGTATTAAAAAATGGGGTTTCTTTGATTTAATTGTGGGGGTGAATAGAGCCACTCAATTGGAAAATATTGGGCTACTTATGTCAGGCTGGG